AAATAAAAAATATATTTTTAAAAGAAAATATTATAAACATGTCCAAACACAGAGTCACACTACGCTTTCTCAGTTTTAAAATTCTCACTTGTTCTCCACTATCTACACTTGTCTTCACATAATTCTTGTCTTGATGTGCAAGCACTGTGGTAAAGTACTCCCTAGACTATGTGCAATTCTGCCCTGGAATATCCAGATACAGGATTTGGGATTCTCGACTCCTGCCCATATGTCATCTTGTTCTTCGCCCAACTTACAGAAGGAAAAATGAATCAGACTCAGAAGAAATGTCTCTGGAATTGCCAAATCTGGAGCCTACACCACATGTTCTATGCTGTTCTACACATTCCAGTCTTGGCTGTTTCTTCTTCCCAAAAAAGCTAATTTTTCATCACATCTATCCTTCTACCTGGCAAACTTCTCTGCTTTTAAGCAGCAGCTTAAATGTCTTCTTCCTTGACCCACTGGGAAAGTCCCTGGCAGAATACAGAAGCACAATAAATGCTGCTACTGTTGATGCAGTTATCTGGGAGATTATGTTAATTTCCAAATTTAACAATGAAGACTAAGATCTTGCTTTCTATGAAAGGCCTTGACACATATTAGTGACATACCAGGGATAAATATTTTAAGGAATATATTAGTCAAAAGTACAATGGATTTCATTGTGCTAAAATCATTAACATAATTAGGCTTTCCATATCACCTTTAAAATAGTAAATTATTTTAAGTCAGATTGAAAAATATTTTAAATTAAGTTTTAAAAATACTATAGGCAAAAAAATCATCAAAACAATTTATAAAACTTTGGTATCTGGCTTCACAAAACTTTCTGTGGAACTCATACCACATTTTCTTACTATTAACAAAACTGGATATACTACTTTAATAAGAAGTTGATCAAGACTAAAATATCTAAAGAATTACACCATGGACTTATCCTCACTGTCTAACTTGGAAATTACTTTAATGACTGCCTACTATGCTGTAATAGTGTAACTGTATCCATCCCCCCACCCCCAACTCCAATCTTCTTCCTTCTTTTAAAACAAGAAAAGAAAACCAGAACTTGTTTGGTCATCCAGACTTCCTCCCAAAGTCTCATCTTCCAGTAGAAGCTGACCCCATCTCCAGGTCCAGGGCCCTCCAATACTGGTTGGACAAGCAATCAGTACATGCATTTCCCTGTAGACTGTTATTGGCCGAGGGCTGGGAAAGGCCCGATCAACCCAGACGGAAGAATGCACGTGGCAGAGAGAGAACAGGCTCAGAGACAAGGAAGCACACAGCTCTGACCGCCTGCCAGCCACTCTGACCGCAAGGACCATCAGCCTGAGACTGCAGCGGGTGCTGAGTGGCCAGAAATGGAAAGATCACAAGTGCTCAGTAACATCACTGGGATACTGATGTATTTCTGAATTTCTCATTATGTGAGATATTACCTAAATAATTTGTTGTTTAAGCAGGTAGAGTTTGCATATTTTGAGTATCAGATAACACCTGCAGCTGAAGCATCTAAATAGATAATTGATTCTTCAAAGCAGAATACTGCTAATGAAAGACTCTTAAAAGGTCTCATTTTACAAGAGGCAACTAAAACTCAGGTTAAATATACACAGTAAGGTCAGACAAATAAAAGCATTGTATAATTATTCAATGGATTATTATATAGCAGTGAAAATGAATAAATTATAGCCATCTTCTACAGTAAGGATATATCTCAGGAACATAATGTTGAGTGGGGAAAAATCAATACATTCTACATGTTCTATTTATTTTAAGTTCAAAGCAAGCAAATCAAAACAATGTACTGTGTAGGGATACAAACATGTTATAAATTTATAAAGGCAGGCAGGGGACTGATAATCAGGATAAGGCTGCCAATGTGAGGAACAGGAGGAAGCAGGTGGAAAAAGGGGAGGGAAACACAGTGCACAGGAGATTCCAAGGCAATGGCTGTTTCTTAAGATACACGCTGAGCACCCAACAGTTATAGGATCATATTTAATAATTTATATATTTCTTGTAAGTTATTCTTTTGTATATACTTAACATTTAATAAAAGATCATAGAAAACATGCACTAGTTCTATCCCTTTTCATTTGTCACTCCACATGTACAACAGTAAACGTAATAATTTTTTCTTCTAGTGAGAAAAATTACATGATGACAAAATACATTTTTAAAGGATTAATTTTAAAACTATAAAAATCATAAAAAATGTTCTCTTTTTTTATTGATTGACTTCAGAGAGAGGAAGGGACAGGGAGAGAGAGAGAGAAACATCTGTGATGAGAGAGAGTCATTGATTGGCTGCCTCCTGCAAGCCCCCTAACTGGGCACCAAGCCCGCAACCTGGGCATGTGCCCTGACTGGGAACTGAACCATGACCTCCTGGTTCATGGGTTGACACTCAACCACTGAGCCATGCTGGCCGGGCAAAAATGTTTTCAATCAAACTTCTTAAATTATCTTAAGTTTACACATAACTGATACTGATAGTATCTCACTAAACTATAGCTAATCCAAATGTCAAAAACATACAGAAAATCCCAAAGTCACTTTGAAACATCTAATTCTTCATGAGGTATTATCTGATGCCTGGTCTAGCATGTTCAATTACACACTCCAACCATGTGGATGCCTATCCATATGCTTCCTTTCACTGAGCAACAGTCATTTTTCCTGAACCAAGGGGTCGACATGGGCAAAGGCAGAAATGCCAGACAAGGCCTGGCCTGAAATCTAGGCTGAGATGGAATATGGAAGAAGATGGTGCTGAAGAGGAGAGTAGAATGTCACCTGCAGAATACCTTCCATGTCATGGAATGAGAATCTCTTTTCTGACTGCAGACAATTGGTACTGTGACAGCACATATACATCACATACTCCCCTAAGTAATACCTTACATGGTCACAAAGATCATCAGTGAAGGATTAGGCCTCCACAAGTATGGGGGAGATGTCAATGATGAAAGAAGGTGTAATCTTTAAAACCTTGTGCTCTACTCAACACTACAACCTCGCTGATCACTGCATTACATTTTATGATTGATTGATTGATTGACATTTATGATACTGTGGAAGATATACTGGAGGGACAAGGCTGGATACAGGAAGATTTCTTAGGCAGTTACTGAATTAGTCAAGGAAGTGGCTTGCAGTTGAAAAGGAGGGGAAACTTTGAGAAAAACTTAAGATATAAAAGATTGTTAGGTCTGGTTGTGTGAGATAAGCAAGAATAAAAAGTCCTCACTCTTAGACAACACAGGTGCATGAAGCATGAGAGAGAACGAGGGTATGGGAATGAGGAAGACCTTGGGGGGTTTGGGTGCTACTTTTTTCCAAACTAAATCCTGGCCCTACTGTGTCTGCTGGTGTCATTAAGTGAAAACTGCCTGATATCGTGTTATGAGAGGCAATGTGGTTCAATGAAGATACGAAAACTGCAATGAGGCAAGACTGAGTTCAAATTCCAGTTTGTAACTTACTATGTGGTCTCGCGGGGAGGGAAGAAGACAGCAACAAAGGGGGAAGGAAGAGCGCTGTGCAGGTTTCTCTCCCGCCTCTCACGGTAGCTCCTTTCCTTATTTTGCCCCGCTAGCCTTTACATCAAGGCTTATCACCCCAGACATTCAAATGACCAGAGTTTTTGGAAATGTGATGTTGTAGAATCCTAAAATTATAAAATGTTAGTAGAAAAATGAAGAAACTGACTTTAAGGAGTTCTGTGGTTGGTCTCAAATCAGTCTTCTAGTTCATTCAGTGGCAAAATAAATAGGTATTTGAATTCCCAGCCCAGATTTTTTTCCCTGTATGCTATAATCTAAACCTGAAAAACAACCCAGTTAAATAATTAAAGGAGGACTTGTACTTCATAATTTGCCATAAAAAGCAAATTTCCATGAAATCCTATAAAAAGCTGTTTTCCAAGTATGCAATTAATTTGGCATTCGGTATGAAATAAGACTGAATTATATTATTCTTTCTCTCAAAAAGATGAATATTAAATCTGGCAGGTGGGACTGAGAGCAGTCCCTGCTCACTCACATAGGCATCAGTGAGTGAAGAAGTTAGACAGGGTCATATTAGAGTCCTGAACAACCACCTCACCTTTCTACTCTTTGTGGCCAAAAAAAGAAACATTTCTTTGACCTCTTTCTTGGGAAGTTTCTATTTTTAAGGCTTTTCCAAAGAATGGATGAACAAATGAAGAGATGGACAAAGACAACGGATAATTATTCCAGGCCTCTGGAGAGGCAGCAATGTAGACTGATTAAGAAGAGCACAGGCTCTGAAGCCAGAGTGTCTGGGTTCAAATACCAGCTACACGAATTATTAAATGTATAACCTTGGCCAAGTCACTCAACCTCTACTGCTTCTGTTTCCTTATCTGTAAAGTGGAGAAGGAAACAGTCCACAGATCCTAGAGTTGTGAAGATTAAATGAGGTTAGAGGCCTGTCATCAGGTAAGCCCAAAGGATAAACACATCACTGTTCTGTTATTACTGCAGGGCTAATGAAAATATCTGTTTCTGGGCACAGTACTGTAAGTTAGGAACAGCCAAAACACTAGGCAAAGTTCCGCTGATAGGAAAAAGCTGAGAGCTCCCAAGAAAAACTGCTTCAACCAAAAGCCAACCAAAGAGAAATGACACTGGCTTTAATTTTATGAGCTACAAAGATCTTTTCTCTCAGTTCTCTTTCTCATTCAAGAAATAGATGGGAGCTGACACAGCAGGACAAATGGGAAAGAACACAGGATGAAATACAAGAAAGCAGCTACGATAAAAATGCTCTAAGAGTTCTTCAATTCTTAATCAGGGAGTGCTACCATTCATGAGGAATTTTTTAAGGGTCTCGAAGCTATTAAAATGGTAATTAGGTCCCAAGAAAACAAGAACCAATTCAATTACATACTGGATGCTTTTAAAATTTAAAGCCCTCTATGAAGAGGGCTTTAAATGAAGCATAGTTATAATTACAGGTCCATGACCAACCTTAGAGCCAAAGTGTAGGTCCCTGGCTGACGCTGGCTCTCCCGGATGAGGTAGCTCCCCTCAGCCACACTTAGGAGCTGGTCCGCTGCTTCTCGGGAGATCATGCCATGAAACCTGAGAAACGAAGTCAATTCAGAAACTGCACGCCTTCCACCTTTTTCAATAAAACAAGACAAAACAAACCCCACCTTTCCTGTTGTTTTCTAGACAGTGCTCCCATATAATCAAAGGGAGCAGTTAAGTTTAACTATGCCAGTGTTTTTCCAGGCCTGGGCCCCTGGCCAGCTTCTCTGTGGTGATAAAAACTGCACCAAAGTCACTACCCAATTCATTTAACAATCACAAAATCAAAATTCACATCCATCAAAAGGAAGACCAACCGCCTCTCGAGAGGACAATGCCCTTCTTATGTAGCTGGTCTGACCATATGGACATGCTGAAAAATATACAGAAATGTGTCCCATTTCCTTTCTTCATACTAATAACATTGCTCCAAAATTTTGGCTCACAGTCTATGTTGGCACTTTTCCAGGACCCTGGGTTGCCCTTAATTGGCATGATTGTCCAATAATGTGCATAATCTGCATCACTGGGCACTCAAGGCAAGCAGTGAACCGTAACACTTGCTTTCACTCCCTGCTAAAACCCATTTTTGATTAAAGAAGAAAAAAGGAGGGAGGAGAACACTCAACACAAACACAGTAGATTCTTCTGTAACACTCAGGCCTAAAACACTGAAAAAGAAAAGGTATGTCAGTGGTGACTGATGATTAATATTAAAAATATAAAACTACCTTACATTTGTATGGGGACTTACAATTTACAGAGAACTTACACATAACGTGATGTCCTTTTAGTAACTCAAAAATAATAGAATGGAGTGATTGCTCTAGTGAACCTTTGCTGCTTTTACTGGTAAAATAAAACAATAGTCTCTTAAATTTGGAATATTATTATTAAAAGACCCTGAAATGGTACCTTAATAATTTAGAAACCTTACTAGGGTGCAAGCAACAACTTTTGGGGAGTTTTTCCTCAGGGAAATAGTCAGTCTCAATTTAAGTTAAGACTGTTCATGGTAGGTATGTTCAAATCATGACAATTAGAACAGCTAGGCTTAGCAATGGCCTGGAATTTCTAATCTTCACAAATTCCTCAGTCTTTCAGAACCAGGTCCACCCCGACTCTGCTGGAGCAAGATGATGATAACCTATCCCCTACCATTAGATTAGCATATCGATATATTAAGTTTACCTGCCATCAATTAATAAAGTTAGTAAAATTTAATATGTGTTTTAAAAAACTCAATTTAAAGAAGAATGCCATTCAAAAAAGCAAATTTTGTAACAAAAATTGACAAAGGTATTTTAAAAATCTTAAAACTATTCATAACAGTTGACCCAAAATTTCCAACCCATAAAAAAAAAAAAAAAAAAAAATTTCCAACCCATAAAAAAGCTCTATGCAGTAAGATGTTTCTTATGGTGTGGCCTTTAATAGTACAGTCATGCACTGCTTAATGATGGGATGCATTCTGAAAGCTGCATCATTAGGCGATTTCATCTTAGAGTGCACTTACACAAACCTAGACAGAATAGCCTACTACACACCTAGGCTACATGGTATACCACTTTGTGTATGTGATCTGTCACTGACTGAAACATCACTATGCAGCACATGACTGCAGTGTTTAAATGCAACCTAAATGCCAAAAGCAGACAAATGAATCAATTACGGTATAACCATAAAGAACACCAGTGGCATCCCCAAACTCGAAAGTGTCGTGTTCTCTTCACAAGATTATTGAAAACTTAAACAGAATTTTAAATAATTTTTAAATATTTGCTATATACATTATCTGATATGATATTAAGTCTTGAAAAACAAATTATTTTATTTGGGGAATGATGAGATTATAGGTGATTTTTATGCTTTTCCCCAAACGGCTATATTTCCTTTTTCTAATAGTCAGAAAAATTAAGGACTTTAAAAATGATTATAACATTTTTCATAAAATATAAAAATGTTCATTATTAATAGTAAGTGAAAAAATAAGGCTACAAAAATACGTATATCTCTATTTTGTAAAAACAGTTCAAAAAATAGATCTTTAGAAGGTAATACTTCAAACTGTTTACATTAGTTATTTCTGGGTAGCATGAATTTACTTACAGAAAATTTGGAAAAATAACAAAACAAAAAGTATAAATACAGACTAACCCACCCATACTCCAACACACATGTGTACATATATCTATATGCTTAATATATACATGTACACACAGATATATGTGTGTGTGTATATATATTTTTTTCCCCTCATATACATCTAGGACTATTTATTTACTTGTATAGCTTGTATCTTTATTTTAACATTATTGCATACATTTCCCCATGCTATTTTCTTCTCTACACTTATCTTTATTTTCTGGTTTTCACCAACTGGAATAATTACATTTGTAATCAGAAAATAATTTCGGTCATCCAAACTTGAATACCTCCTTCATTTTTACTAAAAGCGTCCATTTACCTGTCTCTTTTACATACGCCAGTCTATAAAATGTTTTCTGATAATCCATACTTACTCTCTTCCATAATACTTTGGTCTGTTTTCTACCTATTGAGAAAGAAAAAAAGATATTTGTGATAATTCAAATGTTCAGAACATTATTCAACATTTTGTGTATGTGACAAACTAAAGCATATACTAAGAAAAAGAAAAATCAGAGTCTGGATTTCCAGTTCTACCAGTCGATTAATGGTGCCATTTGGACGGGTCACTTACTTATAAAACACTTTGTCTATAAAAAGAGTTGGACTAAATTATCTTTCATTTCTAGGATTTTATAAATCTGAAAAAAATATTTACATCACTTTATCCAAAAATAAAATAAGACATCTAGAAACGTAATACCACCATTTGTCATAAGATATTGTGACTTTCTCTCTCATCTTTTTCCTGATACTCCACATTCCCCCTTCTGTTAGTATCTCAATATAATCCTGCCCCCTTTTGTTCTCCCACCAACCTGTACCCTCAGCACAGTTCATCTCCTCTAGCTTTTCATGGCAGGGATGTTGGCTGTATGTAGATAAAGAAAGGCCCTGCAGAAAAGATTCTAAGATATCTGTACTGGGGTAGACTGAAAGAGTATTTTCTGGTTCACTTAAGAAACATTTACTGGGGGTGGTGAAGGAGGTGGAGATCCAACAGTACATTAAAAATATCGTGTACCATGATCAAGTGGTATTTATTCTGGGAATGCAAAGTTGGTACAATATCCACAAATCAATAAATGTGTTACACTACATAAACAAAATGAAAGATAAAAACCACATGATAATAATATCAACAGATGTACAGATGTACAGAGAGAATTCAATAAAATCCAGCACCCATTTATAATAAAACTCTAAGCAAAGTGGGAACACAAGGAACATACTTCAACATAATAAAGGCCATATATGACAAACCAGTATTTTGCCTCTAAAATGTCCATCTTCCATACTGCAGCCTGAATGTGCTTTCTAAGCCTAAAGCTTTACCCACATTGCCTAGAAAAACACCACCACAATTCTAACAAAGATGAGGAGCTGTTCTCAAAAATCGATCCAGCTCCCTGCAACAGCAACTCCAAAAATGTGTCACAGAGAGTAGAGATGGTTTTATGTGTTTAAAAAGTTCTAACTACTTTCCCATTTCAAGGTTCCATGTTTAAGGATGACCAAATACCAAACTGGTTTGACTTACATGTAGTGGTATGAATCAACTAAAGATACGGAACTATTTTGATATCTATATTTAAGTATATATCTATCTCAAATACTTATGTAATTTATACCTGTGTCTGTCTCTACACACACACACACACACACACACAACCTAATTCAACCAGGTGCTTGATATAAAATAACAAAATCACTTTTGACATAATTAAAAATGGCATAAGTAATTTTATATTTATTATGTACAGCATTTCACTGAATTATATATTTATACATATTTATGATGACACAGAGTTGTACACATTTTATAGGTGATAAGGGATTTTCAAGGTAATTCTGATTATGTAAGACTTTCACTTTACTGTGCTAACTTCAGAATTTACCATAAGCTACAACTGCATCACGTAACAGCATCATTAAGAATTTTCCCGCCTTTAAGTATTTGCGTGGTTCTAAGCCATGCCTAAAACAGTTAGTTGTGGACCTAGACATATTCCGCTTTAAAAAGGATTATTTATATTTAAAATTTCAAAATTTTCTGTTAATAATAGCCCTTAAAAAATCTTCTGTTTTGGCATTCACAATGGCAACTGGCAAAATTTGCTGAAATTAGAAAAAAATGCATTAGTTACCATTTCATTTTCTGTCAAATTATGTTACTTCTTACTGTTAGATATATTATGTTTTAGAGTTCTGCCTCTAATAAATTATGATTTAACAGTTGAATAATTCAGTTTTTAAAATAAGGTACTATTCATCTTGGTCTCAAGAATACTACAGAAATTCAGTTGAGCATGGAGTTTACTACCAGACTTAAGGGCTTAGACCAAAAGAGGTGGTTACATACATGGCTAGTCTCTATATGCATGTTCCTTTTGAGTGCGGCTTAATCCCTCAGCCCCTGAATATACGATCTGTGATACAATGCTATGGATGGAGAAAATGGAACGGAATGTGTACATGCAAATGACCAAGGTCAGTTCTCCCTTTCCTGACTGTCGTCGGAAAATACTCTTAAAGACAAAGTCAATGGATCCATTTCTATAATATAATTAGTGCCCACAGATAACTTTTATTTCAAACAACCATCAACTTACCTATTCATTAATTTTTCTATTTTGCTCTCTTGTATCAGTGGTAATTGAATCTCGCTGGCATTTTCCCTTTAAAACACAGTGTCCACCAAGTGCTTAATGTCCTAAAACCTCAGTTAAATATATGAGGTTGAACATCTAGTGGTTCTGCAGTACGTCTTTATTGGTAGTGTTCACCATTCCCAAGCACCTTCAATTTTTCCAAACCAAAACTTGTAAGACTGTAATGATCGTTCTCCAAAAAGCATTTTTAGGTTAGTTCCACCTTATTCTAATTAATCCTTTATTTTAATTTACAATGGATTTCCAGGTTATTTGATTGTTTTATAGCGATTTAACCTGATTGAATATTGCTCAAAATAAGTAGACTGTGAGCAATAGTGGCTTATAAATACTTTCAATATCTACATTTACAAATCTAATCATTAGAACGATATTGAGTGTATGCCATTTTTAAAAAAGGCCATTTAGGGGTTTTTTCCAATACTCTACTACAAATAGTACTACAGTGAAAAACTTTAACATATGTTACTCCATATTTGTACAGGTAATTCATCAGGGTAAATCCCCATACCTTGGACAAGTGGGCCAAAAATGCGATATAATTTTATTAGACATCACAAAATTATCATAGGATTGCAGCATGACACATTCCCATGAGCAATATATAAGTGTCTGTGTCCTCACAGGCTTACCAACTACGTATACTCTAAGCTTCTGAACTTCTGCCAGTCCAAAAGGTGAGGGTGGTCTATGTATTTTAATTTGCATTTCTCTTATTATTAATGAAACTGAGCATCTTTTCCTATATATTGTCATATGTCCTATTTTTCTGGTGAACTGTATGTCTTTGCTTACTTCTTACATCATGATTTAGATCTTTTTAATGGAAAAATTACTCCAATGATACTTCCATAATGCCTTCAAACTTTGTTTTAAAAAGCAAAGAATAAAACAAAAAATGGAAGAAGAATGTATGAACTAAAAAGATTACCATCACTTAAATCTATACTGTCATATTCTATAGTGTGTTCCCAGACAGTCCACCTAAACAGTGACAGCTATTTCAAGTGAGAAGAATGTTAAGAAAATGCATTCAGGTTACAATTTTACGATGTCAACTACTATAAACGGTTAATCCCACAAATAACCAAGCCATTGAAGAAGGTCAAAGTTTGGGAAACAAATAATTGAGAGACATTTCATTGTAATAGTTTCATTACACCCACCTCATTAGTACAGGTTATTCTTCGAGGATGAGGGGCTTCCTGTTGTAGCTGATATACTGCGAGAAGGTAGAAAGTAAAAATGTCAGTTTCTCTTATGTAGAACTTCTGAATGCGTATATTAGGAATCACAAACTGACTGTATTTTTATGTTCACAAGAAAACTGTGGTACAGTCCTATTTTTTATGAACAAAGCAAAGAAAGCAAACCAATCTAAATTTAGTGAAAGCCCAGGAACAAACATAAGTAGAAAAGTCATAATCCACAAAATTGTCTTTCTACCTTATAACAAATCAGTACTGCATACTTGGCTCTGTTCTCCATAATCTGGTCATTTATTTTCCCAGTTTTTTTGTGGCTATATTACATAAAGCTTCTCTTTGATACAAACCAATAATGGTTATATATTTTTAAATACATTATTAAGTGTCAAACTTGAAACTAAAAATTAGAATTTAATGGCTAGATACACTGTTTTTCTCCCCTATTTATATTGTGAACATCTATCTTCAAAGATAATCTCCCTGTAAAACAAAATTTCTAAGCCAAAGTTACTGCCACTTAATGTGGGCAAATAAAGCGAAAAGAAAAAAAATTCAGGCACTGAAATAATTTGCCAAAGAGAGGATAATTTTTAGATTATTTAAAAATGGATCAGTGAAAATTATACCAATACCATACCTTCTAGACTCTTTGGCTTTTTGATTAGAAATGGGGAAAAAATGAATAGAATTTGTGGTTATTACAGAAAGTATGTTCATGTATGTCTAAATTTATCTCTAGGAGGGAATTTGTTTTCTATTTCAACATGCATAATCACATATAAGTGAATTTAAGTTAACGCTATATTTAAATACATACATGTTTTCACCGTAACATCAAACTACCCAGGCATCTTGTCAGATAATAAATAACTCAGATTTTAACTGGATATCATTATATAGGCTCCACCTCTGATTGTATTCATTCATATGTAGCACAGGAACATATATAAATACATACAATTAAACTATATATATGCACATATATAGCTATACTATATATATATATATATATATATGTATGTGTGTGTATCGATATACATACAACACATATACTGAAAACAGACATATATCACTGTTCTGTATTGCTAGGTAAAGGCAATAGAGCACTGCATCTAAGAATGTGAACTCCTGAACCAGACCATCTGGGGTTTGTCTGAACACTGGGCTCAGACACTAACACTGCATTCTGAGCTTCCATTTTCCTCATTTGTAAAATGGGGATAAAAATAGTTTCTACTTCATAGAATACTGAAAGGATTAAATAACTTACTATATGTAAAAGACAAAATAGTCCTTGGCACAAAATAAACACTCAATAAAGATTAGTTATGATTATATGTAGGTGAGTGATATTAATACAAAAAATTCTTTACTATTTGATCACCAGAATGCATCTTGAGTTAGTTCACCCAAACAATACTATGGTAAGGCTATAACTGAAAAGGCACAGAGAAGATACAACTTTGCTGCTTAAAAGTCAAAAAATAAACAAAGCCCTTCCTCCTTTAGTAATGTTTGAAATTCTACTGATAGAAATGTATTCTTTTGCTATTTCTTCCTGGTTGCAAAAATCCCTGAGAAAGACAGCACATTAAAACAGTTTTAGATACCTATATTTTACTGTCAGTTTTTCAAAAATATTCCTGTGAATATATTTTTATGGGTTAAAAAGATTAAATGAAGAGAGGAACTCTGAGGTGGGGAAGGGAACAGAGAGAGTGCTGAAACCAAATCTGCCTGGCCCTGAGAGTAGCGCACGCGTGGATCGGCAGAGATACTTGTAACTCGCCATTCCCGAGAGAAGCCAAAACATGACGGCACAAAAGGGAGGATTCTTCAGCCCGTTCCTCCACATTGGTAACTATAACTCTAAGATGTGAAAATTCAGTTCACATTTCTGTTTTGATCAGTAATTCTCAAGAGATTG